TAACTCAGCCTGATCTACTGTGTAAAATAGTTAAGAGGTAACAATAAAGCACTTTTTATTGGTGATAATTATGTAACAGAAGGAAAACTGGATCATGACAGTTTCCCTTTGCTGGATATTCAAGGCTACCATAAAACTCAAGGAAATATCAGATACTGAGACCTTCATATTTTTGATCCAAAACTACAGTAAAAAAAGTCTGCATTAATACAGCAGAAAAAATGAAAAGAGCACACTTTGCTTTTCAGTGTGTGACTGTATTGTACTAGTGAGTCCAAACTCAAATTGGTATCAATCCATGCTTGAAAATAGCTGTACCTTGATATACATCCACTACACACTTTGACATATTACAAAGGATGTAATATTGTAGGGCTTTTGTATTATTTGCACCATTTCCCACCTATGCTGGATTTCCTGTAAAACAAAATACAGAGAACCTACAAGTTGCTCCTTCTCATCTCTAGATTTCAAAATTTGGGGTGGTTTTGTTTCTATTCATAATGCAAAAAAGGTTTAAAATAAAATGTGCTTTTAAACAACCTGCCAAAGCAGTTTTCTTAAGAACTGTTCCTGTCCATATTCATAGAATTGTCACTGAGTGCCAATATAGCTACAAGCATCCAGCACCACTTTAAATGATGTCTTTATTTTTCAGAATTATTAGTTTAAAAGTTTAGCATGCAATGTAAGAAGCTGTGACAAAGCCACTGAGTAAAGACCCTCCAAAGTAATAACCATTTCATACTACTTACAACTTACAAACACAAAGGCTTCTTTGGTAACACAGCCCATGGAAAATGCACGTGGAATTTGCTGTCTGTTTTCCTCTCATTTCTAATGCCCACAGTTAATCTTTGACATATTTTTCATTTGGAAGAAAATGGGAATTGCTTGGCACATTTTTATAGCATGTACCAACACAATGTAAAAAAAAAAAAAAGTAGAAAATTAAGACAACTTTAAAATTTCCAAAGAAAATTGCATGCAAAGTACTTTATCCTGTCATCTTGGATTCAGTAAAGTCTATTGCTATCCACTATAATTCTCCATTAATAAATATTCCCCATTTGTGTCAAATATTTTGCCTAATTCTACCTTCTACAATTCCTTGGTTCAATGTGTAAATGCTCCATGAGAAAATAAAATCTTTTAAAATGTAAGTTAGTCTTTAATATTTGCAAAGAAAAGCGAGCAGGTAGTTCACATAATTCTCATTAAGATACCAACACAATTTCTTTATTTTTAATCCCTTTCCAAGAGTTGTATTTCAGCCAGCAAAGGTTGGTGCTATCAATCTGGAACAATTAAATGCAAATACTTCATAAATACTAAGGTGAGATCCAAAGTCCAATGTGAGAATGACTGATTCTTTTGGACACAGAGAAAACAGAGACTGAAGGTCACCTTTGCATCTGTTGTCAGCGTCAAGACAAGAGATTCCCTCAGGAATCTCTGACCCAGAAGGAATGCTTTAAGGAAAACATTCCCTTTGTCAAGGAGGACTGGATTAGAGAACACCTAGTCAAATTTGATATCCACAAGTCCATAGGCCCTAACGTGACACATCTATGAGTGGTGAGAGAGCTGGCACACACCAGAATGAGTCTATTCATGATCATCCTTGCAAGGTTGTGGCAACCTACAGAGGTGCATGAGAACTGAAGAAAGAAAACGTCACCCCAGTTTTAAACAGCGCAGGAGAGAGGAGCCAGGGACCTACTGGCCAGTCAGCCTGACTTTAATTCCTGAGATCAGCTCACTTGGACAGAGCACAGTGCTAATAACACCAAGGTGCTGCGTTTGGTCCTATGTGGGCCATTCACTCGATAGTTGGATTTGATGATCCTTGAGGATCCCTTCCAAGTCAAAATATTCTGTGAAAGGAGAATGATAGAACACCTCATTCCAGAGGCCATCTCTGTCAATATGAATGACAAAAAAGTGATCAAGAGTAGTCAACATAGATTCACTGAAGTTAAATTATGCTCAAAACAGGGGATAGAAATTACAACACAAATATGTCAAAAAGGCAATTTGCATATTAACAAACAGCACAGCCTGTGCCACACTCTATATTTTAGAAAAAGTTATTTAAAAAATATAGGAAAATTGTTGCTAACATCCTAACATCCTAAGGTAGTTACTTCTGTTTCTAAGCCACAAATCACCACATATACTTGCAGTTCCAAGCAGCAAACACCAAATATGATCACCTAGAGATTATGCAAATGTCACTACAAGTGATCTTGAAAACTCTCCTGAACAGCAGCAACAGGGGAAAGAATACACAGATGGGAAGCAATGCAATGTGATACCATTGCTACTAATCCATGTTTGCTATCTGATCTTTAGGAAAGCAGCAAAGATTGCACTGTGCAAGCTGCAGATTTTTACTTATTATCATTTAAGATGATATTGAGATTGAGGGGATTCAGAAAATGGAATTTAAATGAAACAGCAAGAGACAGCTCTGACCTCATGGATCTCTTAGATATGTTTAATAAATCACTGTCACTCCTGTTGCCTTTCCAAAAGAGAAGAAACACAAGTGCACCATGCAGTTGAGACAAAAATAGTGCCTGGAAGATAAAAATACCAGCTAGCCATTCTCACCTCAAGATCAAAGACTGCACCTGGATATTAAAATATAATTAGCATGTGCACATGCTATGCTTGCAGAAATCAGTGCCAAAACTATTCAGAGGTGCTGGTGCCCTTCTGACTGACTGGGTTTGTCTGTTCAGGAGTAAATGTGACATAACCCAAACTCAGCCTAAAGAGCATTTACTTCATAAATTTACTTCATGAATTACCAACTCCTTTCTAATTTCTGCTACATTGCTGTCATTCCCTTTTACTCTTCTTGTAAGAACAAATCAAATAATGTTGACAGTCACAAAACCAGAACTGTCATATAGCTGCTATGCTTATAAGCATACTATATTTTTAATGTTTGTGTTTGGGTTTTTTTTTTTTTTTCCCAAATTCTGGGGTTTCTTCGTTGCTTTTTTTTTCCCAAATTCTGGTCATATAACTTCTTTTAAATTCATTCTTCCCAAAACATGGGGATGATGATGCTTCCTGCCAATTCCCCTTCCAACTTTTCCTCAAGTGCCTGTCCATCTTCCAGAAGGACAGATTATTTGGTGTCAGAAAAAAAAAAAAAAAACTAGTATTTTTATAATTTTTCATGGATTAATGCTATCCGCATCCCAAAATCCCACGTGTTTAGGACACTCTCAGTAACTAACTGTTGTTGAATGAAGTGCTCAAGGATCTCCAGGAATTTTTCTGCCTGGAGGCAAATGCCACCCTGACAGGTCACCAGGCCAAGCAGAGTTTTAAGCAACTGAGCAAGTGACTGTATAAATTGCTGCCCTGTTACGCTGCCAAGGCAGGGACTGCATTGAACTGACTGCTGCTACTGTTGGCTTCACCACACACGCTGTGCAGGCATTTGAACTGCATGTGTGGAAACCATAACCATGAAGAAGATCTTTGTGTTCATGAATGAGGGCTGAGGCACAAACCTTATCATCTGCAAACACGGCTGAATGCCACAGAAAGTGTCATTGACTTACTCACTTTGATAGAAAACAAACAAATCCATTTAGAGGGGGAGGAAAGCATATCTACTGCAAACCAAAATTAATTGCACGTATGCAACAACAATAATGAATTTTGACCACAGACATAAGCACTACAGTTTTCCAGAAGTGTTTGAGCAGCCTAAAAGCATTTCCCTCTCTGAATGCTCCAGAGCTCATGTCTGGGCAGGAAGGGGGTGTATGCTACCCATGCCAATGACATTGCCACCAACCCATCAAGCAGTGCCCACCAACAGGCTTCCATGCTCAGTCACACACTCGGGCCTCTGTGAGTGGAAGAACCAGCCCTCAGCCCCACTGAGTCTGCTTGCATTGCTTTTTTTCCCAATGCCATACACATATATCTTCACACCTACACTTCATACACAACCTCAAAACCCAAGAAATGTGCACAGCAAACACCCTTGGCAAGATCACATCCCAGGTGCTCTTCTCCTCGACCAGAAGTTTTCAAGAGATGCATGACCACCTTTCTTTCATTCTCTACAGATTTCTCCACAATTCTATTCAAATGTAGAACTTTTTTTTCTCTGTGTCCAGCCAGATAAGAAAAGCAATGAGTAGGAGAAAAAGTACATGTGTTTTTATTATTTGGTTATTTTCCGGCTAACTAGCATTTGAAATGTATAGAACAGATGCAGCATTTTAAAAAGCATTACTGACATACACAAGCACTATATATCTACAAAGTTAGACAGAAGGTGACCATCACTAAGGCTAAAACCCATAACACCTCAGGCCCACAATGCAAATCTGGCACCAGAATTAGCCTATTACTACCCAAACATTTATTTTTAAATTAACTTCAAATCCAAAGGTTAATATAAAGAAGAAAAAGTGATTTTTCATCCTTTTAAGTTCAAGATCAGGCTGATTTCCAAGTACTAGTTCTAAAAATCTCTTTTTCCTCAATCCTCACCAAAAAGGGTAACAGGAAACTTTTGTTTTATCTGCAGTATTTTCTCTGTAAATCTATCACCTTTCTCATGAAATCTAAACCAACCAAAGTGCACCTAAAGGCTTGCATCAGGCTCCTGACGCTGTACAAACCCTGACCCCCAGTCCAAGTGAATGGATAGGAGATCTCCAGTGTGTGTCCCTGCAGGAGTCAAAGCTGCAAACACAAGACCTGCTGCCCCACATCTTGCCAGCACACCAGCAACACTTTATTCAGTCCCTCTCTGACCTTCCTGAAGAACCCACAGAACTTCTGTTTTACTTTTTTTTTTTCCCCCCCCAAGACTCTTAAGTGTTCCGCTCAAACCAGGCTTTAAAAAAAAACTAAAACAAAAATAAAAGAAAGAAAAAAAAGAAGAAGAAAAAGGGAAAGGTAAGGGTAGGGGAAGCACAAGTGCTTTGTGAGCTGAAAAGCTAAAGCCTTCTACTTACAGGGAGTTTCGGCGCGCTCGCTACATCGCTGCCAGATTCCCCGAGGATGAGAGTCATGCGAGGAGGCAGAGGGTGGCTCTGCTAAGCAAACACAGCACCGTAGGCTGGGCTAATCCTGCACCTGTGGCGGGTTATTCAGCAGCAAAGAAATGCAGTCCAGACTGCCTCTGCTTAATACGGCTCAGCTGTTTCCCTCTGAGCTCGCTTTGATTGTAAGCTGGCAAACAATATTATTCCAGCCAGGCGCAAAGGGGTATTCAGGCTGCATAGGATGTGACAGTAAAAAGGCAAAAGGAAAAGAAAATCCTGGAGTTACAAATCAAACAAAGATCCCGAGCAATACAGAATTTCTAACTCTTTCCAGATGGTTGGCAACACCTTCCAAGGTCAGTATATAAAATGCACGCTGAAGTTGGAGCATTCTGCTCCTCACCTCCCTTTAAAGTGGGACTACTTGTGATACAGGATACACCACAGTGGCCTGGCCCTCATTTACCCAATCCCATACATCTTTGCTGATGAGAGCAATCACAAGAAGGTTTTGATGGGGCTTTTAGGCTTCTTATGGTACAAAAAATGCCAATTGAGAACAGACTATGAGAAGAAATGGCATGCAACCAGCAATTTGGGATTTTTTTTCAGAGGAAGAGGAAGCAAAGAGGTCATGAAGTTGCTACTAGGATACATAGGTTTTATCATAGCACATCACAAAAAAAAAAAAAA